CTTAGAGACCGACGATGAAGATGAAGAGACACTTGGCTTGAAGGTTTTGAAGACTTGTCTCAATCTCCACGAGTACGCCTTGTTTGCGGACACGGTTAGATGGCAGGGGTTAGAGATTGATAATAGACTCTTCACCACGGTCCGTGACGCCACGGCTGCCGGCTCATTGAAGCTTAGTGATGTCAAGGCGATGTATGTGAAATCGTTGTCACTCTCTTTGTTCATCCTTCTTACTGATGACCGACACATAGCCTCCTGCACAACGTTGGCATCCACCCAGTCTCAGAACGTTCAAAGTGCATCACCGCTCTTGCTCCCAATGATGGTGGCGTTAACCCCGAATTCTAAGATTGGGTGCATCAAGCCGTCGCCGACTGCCTTGAAATATGTAATCTGACACCCGTGGACGATAAGGATGGAACGGCAATGGTTGATTTGATCGGACATTATGAGGACTGGGATTGCGTCATAACTCGGTATGTGTTAACCGCGCCCTGTATTAGCTTGCTCATTCCTAACCAACACCACCCAGGCTTGCTCCAATTCTCACACAAAAGACCAGCCACTCGCCCTTTGTGCTAGCTGCTATCCGACAGCTGCTTGAACGGCAAAATATCAAGGGCGCTGCCGACGGCGAGGTCCTGAAGCTGTGCGAATCGCAGGTGAAGTCCCTAATCTCCCCGATAGATATTTCTACCCTGCTCAGCCAGGACGTGCCTACAGCTGCCCCATCTGCAAAGCGCCTAGGCGATAAGAATAGCATGCACGTCCAGAATCACCACGGCAAAGCGCCTCCTAACCAGGTTCGTTTAGTGTTTACCCCTGTCCAATTCGGATCCTTCTTCGACACCTGCCTGAAGCACGAGTTTTACGAGTATTGTTGATACAGCTGTAGTTCAAAATCGTCGAGCAGGTGAACAACTATCACCCAGCCAACCTTCAACTCTGGCTCCAATTCCTTCGTTCTCTCGCCTACTCCCTAACTTATCGCAATGTGCCCTTGTCAACTCCTCGTTACCAGCAAATTGCTATTGCCATCTTCGACGCATATTTGGACAACTATATTGGCAAGGAGCCCCCCAACGTGCCTGATTATCGTCGACGTCCAGTCAGCTGCAAATGATGGGACTGCCGTGAACTGAATATCTTTCTCGAGTCGGCGACGCGTAAGGCCCGTTTCCGCATGAGCGAGACAAGAAGAGAGCACCTTCAACTGATTCTCCGCCGCTCCAAATCCGACTGCAGACACTGGACGGAGCGTTCTAGGAGCCCGCACGTTTTAGTTGTCCTTAAAAACAACGAGAAAATGGAGAGGGAGATTAATGCCTGGGCGGACAGGTTCCACGTGGCGCGGCAGGAAATGGAACGATTTAACCCCCAGGAGCTGAGAAGCCTGCTGGGTGAAAATTACGAAAACATCACGAGAACGAGCCGCCTCCGGCGTGCCGTCGTTACGCAACCTGTTACAGGTCTGAAGAGAAAAGCCGAGGAGGGCATCAACGTCGACGCTTCAAATCGAGGTCAACAGTAAGTCAATTCCAGTATCTAACAGCCTTCCATGTCCTATTCTATATCTTTCAGCGAATCTTGGGTCTAGCACTTACGGTTTCGAAGTCTGGCTCAACGCCGACCAATGCCATCTGTGGCCCAACAATTTTTTTAATCATCGAATCGGCGTTAGGTGCGGATTAAGGCTTATCTTTCTCGTTGGCCCTGGGCATTTGCTCCCTCCGCCGAGGGATATGTCGACGTTTTCAATGTTACCCCGCAGCTTCCGCACCTGTTCGGAGCCCCAACCAACGCCGAGCCACTTGGCGTTTCTGTTTCCTCTTCCAGAACACGCGGAATCCGATGTTTTTCGGTCGGTGTTCTTCAGGTGGACACCTAACTTGACGGGTGGCGTCGTGACGACAGCTTGCGACGCCCAATGGCAGCTGATATATGCATCATGTTGTGTCACAGCGCTATCAACGCTGTGCCGCCAACGCCGCCGGTTGACTGACAGAACAGTCACACGCGGGGGTTCGTCGAATGACCTCTTTATCCATACACATTTTGTACAAATATGGTTCCGCTAGTCAACACATGTAGTTTCGTCAAGCTGTTATTCCTGTTCTTGGTGCCGCATGTATTTCATGGGTTTGATCGAAATCCGCGTAGAATTCGCGTCTTGGCAATGTATCTCACTAAGGAGGGGAGCTCAGCTCGTGCCGTACATCTGGTAGAGAGCCACCCACCCACACATGCACGGTGTGCTCTGCAAAGCGCATTGCTACATGCAGGCAGTGATCCCACGTTCATTACTATATCAAGTCCTTGAACACATTTCTCAGTGCTCCATTTGGGGTGACAGCAGTCATATCAATTCTTTTTCAAGTTGTTGTAACCCTGTACATCATGGCAGCAGAAAATGGGTTACCCGAATCGCCGTCATCGGCGCTGGAGCCTGCGGATTGATCCTCGCCCATGGCTTGCAGAAAGTGTGATGCAGCAGTTGACATTGGCCCACTGCTTCTTTGTTCCCTTTTTCGCAGACATCCTAGTCTTTTCAATCCTTTTTTTTTTCCAAGCAAGCCCTTGTTTTGTTACTTTCCGCAAATAACCTAGCATCTTTAATCCCCCTTTTTGCGTCAGGATGGGTTTTTATTGGTCCCCTACCGCAAATACCCAAGCCTGTTTCCATCCCTTTTCTTTGTATGAACTTGTCCTTATTAAGATGACATGACTCAACAGAATGGCTTCCAAGTCACCGTCTACGACAAAGAGCAGCACATCGGGGGGAGAACATGGAAATGGACCATGGTCGTGCATTGGGGCCTGCCGACTTTACGGGATATGCTTCCCGCTGAGGTTTTTTACGCCCTCAAATATGCGCACGCGAATCCGTTCTATGCGTACAGCGACGACAAGCCTGAGACGGTTCCTCTTTTTTAACGGGGCCACGGGTGAGTTTGTTTTCGGGCTGACGGCGCCGTTTCGACGATGACTAGGCGACGATTAAGGGAGGTATGTGCACGGGGATTGGATATACATTGGGGAAGAAGGTCTGTCCTCTTTTTTCCCCCCTGCTTTTTTGGGGGGTTTTGGGGGGAATCGACCGCAGCACGGCAGGGGGCTCGCCGGAGGGGCCGCCGGAGGTAACAGAACAGAACGTATCGGGTAGGTGGCTGATCGATGATTGTTGATTATCTGTGGGAGGAGTAGGTTACGGATATTCGAGTTGAGGACTCGAAGGAGGAAGAAACAGGAAGGCCTGGACCGGTGACGATTGCTTTTGAGGGTGGTGAAGTGGCGACTGCTGATCTTATGATTGGGGCGGATGGGTCGTCGTCAAGGGTTAGAAGGTGGCTTGTTGGAGAGGAGGCGGGCAAGTCGCTGCTCTCGGAGTATATGATTGGCAGTGGGATTGTCAAGTACGGCACGGCAGAGCAGGCGAAGAAGTTGCTAGAGCCGAGTGAGCTGTGTGCGGTGGCTACGGGGCCGACTGGTATGGTGTTGGTGGCCAGTCAGTAATTTTCGCTGTCATTCCATTGTTGAGATCTGTTGTTTGGGAAGGCTGCTGACACCAGTTTTACTGACTGAATGATGCAGCCAATAATGTCGTCGACCCAGAAGATAAAACGACGTACAGTTTCCAGGTCGTCCGGATCTGGCACGGAACAGAGGAGGGCAGGGACGGCAAAGAGGCCATCGCCAGAATGAAAGAGGTCACGGCGTCTGATATGTTCCAGGAGCCATTTTACTCGGCCATTCATGCTATCCCCCAAGCCTCTGATCCCATTTTCACGAGGCAGCTGACTTACTGGCCTACCGTGTCGTGGGACAATAGGCGGGGAAGTGTGACGCTGGCGGGGGATGCGGTGCATAGCATGTTGCCAAGTGAGTTGTTCTTCTCTTTTTGCAAACATTGCGAGAATGTTTCTATGGGTTGAGATATGGAATAAAGGGTTGCTAATTGATTGGTATGGCAGATCGCGGGCGGGGGCTTAATCACGCTTTGGCGGATGTGATGCAGCTGGTCAAGCAGCTTGTCAGAGTCAAGGTTAAGGGTATCAGCGTACAGGAGGCGTTGGAGTGTATGATGAGGAGGTTGTTGTTCGAGGGAGAAAGGCAGCGCTCGGGTCGATTGATAATGCGGATCAAGTCATGACGAACAAGAAGCTGAGTGAGTCAACGCAGGCGAAGAGGGGGTTAGCGCGCTGAGATGGCGTGGCTTGAAAGGGTTGAGGTTGCTGGACTTGGGCTGTTTCATTTCTGGTTGCGTTTGTTCTTTGATCCTTTCAAGCCGTGACACTATTGGGTCAGTTTAATTAAACTCAGAAACCACGTCTCTCGGCCTTTTTCGGTTCCTATCGCATTTTCTAATAATGAGTTGACGAGTATGAGTGCCGGGTTATGATAATCTGACTGCAGAATTCAAATACATTGCCTTCCCCGACATCTTGACTTGGCTCGGGGAGTCATGAACGGAGAGAGTTTGATGTGCATTGAGTCAATTTAAACTCAACATCCATGCAAGATGTAAGTGGATCTCAACCAAACCCACCAGAAACAAATTTTCTCCGTCGTCCTTGCCTTCTCCCCGATACTCCTTGTTGAGTCCTGTTCCACTCCACATCATCCATCAAACAACAAACAGCTGCGTGGCGCAGTGGAAGCGCGCCGGGCTCATAACCCGGAGGTCACTCGATCGAAACGAGTCGCTGCTAATTATCGTGGTACAAGTGAGTAAACTTGTACATCTCAACTTTGCTCGCCGACTTTTTTTCCTTATTTTGTTGTCATTTAAACTTGGGGTCTTTACTCGCGGTCTTTACTTCTCAGAAGTTAATCTCGCATTAGTTGTGAGTCATGATTTCCTTTTTCTCTGAGCTTTCTTTTAGATTCTTTTCTTATGGGACTCGCAGTGCGGGACGTTATCGTGAGCTGTCCTGTTTGTCCATCTCTGCAACAATAGGAGAACAAAAAGGTGATACCACGGGATACGGACAGCAAAAAGCTGGACTAACCCGGGATTGAACCGGGGACCTTTCACAAGGACGACATCTGACGATCCATGATGCGAAGCGAAAATCATACCACTAGACCATTAGCCCTGGTTGAGAAGTGTGGATGCTTCCTGATTTTTAAGAACTGGAGCCGTGAGAGATTTCATGTGGGTTCCATTTTCTGTTTGTGTTGTGTAGTATCAATCCATCCCTCAACTTGTATCACTTGGACTCCACTTCGTCCTTTAGCCAGTCCACACAGGTGGACCGGGAGCTTTATAATCCAGCAGTCCACTGGAAGGCCAGTCGTAGATATTTTCTGCAACCCAGATTCCTGGATCAGATAAGTCATAAGCCCCTGGGAATTTGACCAAGTACTCTGGGTCAGGCATCCTCGGCTCTGCTGTTGCTTTGTCTCCACCGCCAGGCAGAACCTCAATCTGGGCGCAGCTGATGTAAAACTGCGTGGTGTTGAACGGAGACCGCACATATAGATGTTCGACGCGGACGAGATACTGTCCCGGCGGCGTAGACGCTGGAACTGTGAAGTTCATGCCCGTTTGATCCCGCGTCAGCCACCAAGTGTCGTTCTTGGCGCCTATGCTGCCGATCTTGAACCAGTCTCCGTCGCCTTCGTAGTCAGAGATGTTTTCAGTGGTGGCGCGGGAGAGGTAGGCCTGTCCTGGGCCGTTGTGATATATGATGTACGGTTCCATCGGCTTCGGTCAAGGTGTTAACTTAAGGTGTGGTGGCAGTTTCTGGGGGGTGCAGTTGAAGGAATGACAGTTACCTCGTCTGCACTCCGCCCAACGACAAAACCGATTTCATCCCCCGCGACGACTGTGGCGGTTTTAGTCTCAGGCCCGGAGGTCGATGCCCCTCTGCCGCAGCGGACATCGGGCGAGTAGATGTCGTAGAATGGCATGTATTGATCCCAGAGGCCGGAGTCAGTCGCTTGGCCGATGGAGATATTGCTTTATGAAGTGTTACCATGAGTTGCAGCAGGTAGCAAGTTTGGTGGGTGATGTACCGAACATATTCCCATTGCTCCGTTATCATCTCGCTGAAAAGAAAGCGACTGAACACATCTTCAGACTTCATTTAGCAATCTGAGCAGTTCGATTTGAAGACATTACTTTTGACCTACAGTGACCAGATACGCACTTTGCCGCGCCTGCAACAAGAGTTAGAAGGCTGAGATGCCGCATCTTGGCGAAACTTGGATGGGCGGCTCAACGTGCAACGCAGGTTGGAGTTTGCTGGACGTTGCGGGCGATATGTTCTCTCGCCTCCGGCTGAATTGGAGTTGCAATGCTTTTCCTTGGGAAGAGATCGGAGAGGCTTTATCCGAGGCATAGATTGGCCACTATGCGACCTAGTTTTGGCAAGTGCGGCTAATTGAAGAGATCAACACGATACACCACTTATTTTAGTCGCAGCTTTGGCGTGTCGGCTTATGAAAGTGTTTTGAGTTCAAGAGTGAGGGATAAGTCGACTCGATTCACGTCACAAGATAGGAGTAGCCTGGCTAATAAGAAAATTTTAGCACTCAAACATATGAAGATTACTTGGTCTGTGACCTTTCAGGGAGGTGCAGTGGTGCCCTTAGTTCACATTTGCATGACTGATGTAGGTATAGGCAATCAAAGGTTCTTCCTCACTGTAGAATAATGCTGCGCTGACTGTCAGCAATCAGCAACGACAGATAACAGAGCCAATGAGATGGAAACATACATGTGGAAGTAAACCACACACTGTTCACGTCCGTGAAGGGTGAACAGAAAGACACCCAAAAAAAATATATTGTTACGAGCCCGTTCAAAGTAGCATCAATGCGATACCGAGCCCTGCGCAGGAAAACAACAAGGCCAAAGACGGGACCTTCAAGTTCCCAATGTGAATCGACATATCCACCGTCTTCACTAGCTTCGACGGCACTACCGCTGGAACAGAGCCCCCCTTATGCTGCAGAAACGGAAACACCTCCGAGGCACGCTTGGAGATTCCCTGGAGATACACCCGCCACGTTGTCCTGCACTCCTCGCACAGCTGAACTCCACCAAACAGCCCAATCCTTTCCGCCTCGGTAACGTTGCGGTACTGGCAACTCCCGCAGTGCACTTCCTCAGACGCTTCCAGAATCTCAGCAAGCCCATCAAACATCAACTCGGTTTTCCTCACAATGGCAGCATCATACCGCTCCTTCGTCTCCCGACTCCTTTCCCTCCTCTGCTTACCACTCTTCCCAAGTGTTCCAAACTCATCATCAGTAACCCGATTCCACAACTTAAAATTTTTCCTCGTCTGCGCCACCACAGCATCCGTCTCCTCCCGTCCAACCGTCAACCCGTCCTCCACGTACCTGTACCTCCGCATCATGATATGTATGGGCCCGCCGAAACTCCTCATAAAGTTCAGCACGCATCGATGCGGTGGTGAATCTGCCCACGCGCAGTCCAGTTCCCAGAGGACTTCCCTGCACTGCCGATAGGTTTCTTGGCGCATGTCACCGCCGGCGTAGGCAAAGGTGTTGTTCGTCTCACCCTCGGCGCGATGCTTGTAGTATGACGCGGCGTCGTACATGGCGTCTGCAATCTCACAGAGCATGTTGATTTCGTCTTCAGAGAACCAGAAGGAGTCGTGGTCATTGCATGTTAGGGCTGCGGCAATGGTGAAGCGTGCCAGGGCGTCGCAGTCCCGGAGGCGGAACCAAGTCTCCGGGGAGCGGGCGAGAGCGTTGGTGTACCGGTGGAAAAGTTCCGAGTGGATGCGGCGGGATTTGTTGGCTTTGTCGGCGGTTATGAGTATGAAGGTTTTGTATTCGCGCGCCATTGCTTCGTGGATTTGGGATGAGGAGCCGTAGACAATGGAGAGGAGGGAGTCGAGATCGTAGCCTAGGATAATGGGAGAGGGGGAGGTGATGTCGACGAGACTACCACGGAATTCGGCGATGACGCCAATGATGATGATCCGACAAAATGCGATGTACCGGGGTCGGTTGGTGTACTGCGGGATGACGCAGCGCACGTATTCCCATGCGCAGGCGATGACCTCGGCGATGACGTTGGGGAGCAGGGAGACGCCTTGGAGGTCATTTTGAAGTTCGTTTGGGAAGAACCAGAGGTCCTTATGCTTTGCTGGTGGCTGCTTGTTCAGGGGCTGCGTAGAAAAATTAACTTCCGGGTTGATCGAGTCAACAAACCCCGAATCTGGGATGTCTATGCCTGGGCTGACAATTTGGCTAGCAGGGATTTCAAGGGACAGAGGGGGCTTGGGAGTCTCCATCTTCCTTGGTACAGTGCTGATTTGTGTAAAAATGCTAGTATGGGGATACAATAAGAGGTATGAATTTCGTGATTTTTTCTTAATCAAGTACTTAAGTCCCAGGTACTGAGGATTGTGAGTGAGAAAGAAGTGATCGAGTCTCGCTATCCTCTCACTTTCGGTACATAGCGTCTTTTATACCTCTGTCCATCCCAAGAACGCTAGGACGACGAGTTGAACCGGGGATCTCCTTTTCTGTCTCAGGGCGAGGCACGGCGGGAATACCCAAAGCCCGGATGTCACAAACCACTACCTGTTTACAGTATTCTTTGAATGTGATGTGATGTGATAGCACTATGCTTTAACATTTCTTTCAATACCAGCCCTTATAGCATGGCAGACAGGGCAATCAATAGATAACAGTTCTTGAACACTATTGGCTGCTGCTACAATATCGTTGCTCGCAGGATCTCAAGGTGTGATCGAGTTCGGACTCGGACACGTCGGAACGAGTCTCTGCAACGCTATTCCTGGTCTTTGACGGGACAATGACCTTATGATGTCAAGGGAGGATTTCATCCGGTTCTCCAAACAACTTTGCTGCGAATCGGCGGCCCAGAACATGAAAACAGTGGGGACCGCGGAGCGAAGCCGTCTAGGCCGGTTCAAACTGTCTCGCCGATATCAGCTGCCCGGCTCGGTCCTTGCGATCTCTGGTTGCAATACCACCAGAATGGTCTGAGCGATAACTCTCATGTGTTTCTTCTAAGATGTGCGTCAAAGCGTAAATGGAACTCTTGCCAAAGGAGGAATATCCCCTGTTGTTTCACCGTGCAGCGCGTCTGCAGTCAGGGAGTCATCAGTCTGAAATGATGCAGAGGACTTTGCTGGTGGCCAACCGTTGCGGTCTTCGAGAGCACGTCCAATGTAGGCTTTAAATGATTCGTATTGGAGATGGGCTCAGAGCTAAATATCTATGGTGTGCTTGAGCCAAGTGTGTGTCTGTTCTGGGCAGTTTTTCTCATTTTGGGTCGCTAGCTGCAGCGCTTCCTGCAGGCCGCGCGTATGATGCCCAGCTTGTCACCATCATCTCGGCATCGCTAGTACGCAGCCGTAAATGTAAAGTGCTGACTCACAACGGCACTTTGAAGCAAGTGTCATTGCCCTATACTCAAGATAGCTTTCCGGCTGAAACGGCCCCCTGCAAGCTGCCGATTGTGAGTAATCACATAAATTCCAACTACTAACTCGTAGCTAAATGGCTGCTAGATGCCATCGCGACAAGTATTACCAAGCAGGGTGGTATCTACTAGTATCAGCATCACTTAAGGGACTCGTGTATTTTGTCTTAATGAGGCATTCTCGCTTCATTTGACATTGTCTTGAATCTGACCGACGGGTGCACATTGCCCCGGTCCTCGCATCGAAGGTCCTATTTGCTATTCTTTTGAGCTCGTGGGTGTCTCAGTTTGGAAAGTTCCGATATTTGAATCGCACAAGCCGATAAGGAGTCTATCTTTCAAGGCACACAACTTTAATTCGACCTCTGTTTGCGAGGGGTTGAAGAGTTATACGAGTTACCGGATTCAGAAAAGTAGCCGTCTTAGTCAGTTGGTGTAACAACAGGGAAGAAGTCGATATAAAGTTCTGATGTCTTTGCCACTCCTAAATCTGGAGTACGGAGAGTTCATAGTCCACACGCTTGTAACTCAGTTTCCAAGGCAATAAAACTCAAAGATGGCTTTCATTCAAGTTTCTATCATCAATCTACTTTGGCCGCTCGCTGCAATCGTTTTCTTCACTGGATCCATCATCATCAGACGTCGATACTTCCATCCTCTCTC